GGGAGACTCTGACCAGTTATTGGAAATCTTTTGCTCACTCTCGATTCAATCTCTTTCCATACCCAGTTTCAGTTTCACTGTGATAAACAATTAAAAAGAATCCAGGTAATTATGTGCTATCAACAACCTCTACCCAGCAACACCAAGTTCAGACACAAGCCCACAAGAATTCTCACTTGAGGAATGCAAAGTGCCTGGTGCTGCTCCTGGAGATGCAGGAGGAGCTCTGCAGAGATGTTCAACCACAGGAACTCCTCAGCAAACACAGCAGCTGCTGTGTTACAAGCTGCTAAATCATCATGCCAGGCTGGTGATGCCAGCTTCAGTCCAAGAACCCCATCATCCTGTCTCCAGACTCCAGCCTTGTGCAGGATGTGGCTGCAAGAGAACCTAACAAGGGACTGCAGGCTCTGGGCACATTCCCCTCCAGCTAAAAACTGGAGAGCCTGCACGAGAGAGAAGGACCTTTCAGAGAAGCATGGAAGGAAAAGCCACCAGCACCCACACAGCTGCTCCAGGGACAATCCAGACAGGGGGGGTTAAAAGTTCATTTGCAGAAGCAGAACAAAACCTTTTGCTAATTTACACATTACAGGAAGCCAAGCCCAAAAAACCCAGTGAACACCTACAGGGCTTTTCGTGGTGGTTTGTAATTCTTCAGAATCTCATATTAAAAACAAAAGCAGAGGAGTGAGAGGGAGGCAGAGCTGGCAAGGGCAGGCACAGAATGCTGCAGGGCTGTCTCACCTCTGTGGAAGCATCACTGGCTCCTCAAACACCAAAACACGTGAGGGAGAGCAGAGCAAAGGGGAAACCAAAGGTGCTGCTGCTCCCCACAAGGCTCTGCTCCCTCCAGCTCCAGAGCACAAATCACAGAACCATGGAACAACACAATGGCTTGGCTTGGAAGGACCTTAAAGCCCAAGTCATTCCAACTAGGGAAAATGCAGAAGGGGTAAAAGAGCAGAGCATGAGCCTGACCCAGGAGAGACAAGCCCCAGGCAGGGTTCTCCCAGCTCCTGCAAGGCAGCATGTGCCTACAGAGGAACTCCTTCCATGTCACCTCCCTTTCACCAACCTTACAAGCACCCAGATCCTTTGGGTCACTTGAAGCCCAGGGCTTTGCCTGGATCCAGCACTGCCATGATCCAAAAGGAGCAGAAGCAGGCACTGGGCATAAAAATGGCATTCCCAAGGAGAGCAAGGAGAGCCACCGGCCCACAGACAGCTCCCATTTGCTTCTGGCAGCCAAATCAGGCAAGCAGCACACGAGAGCAGAGCATCCCAGAGGCCTCAGTGGCTAGTGGAAATTTCCAGAATGTCCTGGACAAGAACGACTTACTGGAAGCAATACATAAATCAAGCAAATGAATAGTTACCAGACAGCAGCATAAACAGCTGCCACGGGGATGAAATCAGACCTGCTGTGCCAAGAGGCGGCAGCCTCCTTGCCGGCTGCACCTTCGGGGGAAACAGGCAGAAGAAGCCCAGGAAAAGCAGGTTCCTGGGGGAGCTGCCAGCCCTGGTCCTGCAGAGGTGTCCTGGGGGGTCCTGGGGCTGCTGGGCACGGCGGTGCCGTGGTGAGCCCCGGAGCAGCTCCCGCAGGGCAGCGCGGCCCCGAGCGCCGCGCCGCCCCACGCCGACAAAAACAAGCCCTGGTTGTATTTTTAGGCAGAAGACCTGGAGGAATTTTTTCTTCTTCTCCTTTGCCAGCAATCCCTGGTTGAGCAGCAAGCCCTGGGGAACGTGCCAGGCTCCGTGTCCGGCCCCTGGCCCGTGGTGGCCTTTGCTGGATCCCCAGCAGCAGCTGCCCTGCAGAGCCCATGGAAACCATCGCCCTGATAAACAGCAAACAATTTGTGCAGGAGATAACAATCACTGTCATCTCGGTTAAAACACGTAAACTAGAGAACACCACCACAGCAAAACCAAAGGGAACCAGCCAGTGTTGGCCAGGCCACGGCTGGGAGTGATTAGAGATAATTAATTCTGCTAAATACACGTAGGCACAGCTCGGCTGCAGCCTCCTCCATGGTCCTGACTTTGGCACAAGAGGAGTGGGTGTGTGGATCTGGGGCTGTGGGGGCAGTGGCAGCGATGCCAGCCCACAGAAGGGGTATGAGCCTGGCACCTGTCTGTGCTGGAGAACCTGGACTCGCTGCCACAAGAGCAAAGCAAAGCTCCAGGTGTCAAATTATGGCCCTGCATGAAAAATAATTCTCTAAATGCTTGAAATATAATCAGAGTGAAATCCCCCCTGCTCTGCACCTCCACAGCATTGACTCCTGGGTGAGAAAGTACATTACAAAAGAAGAAGGAGACGGGGATGATATTGAAGCTCTGCTAATACAAATGGCAATTTTCTGCAAGCAGCTTCACTCCAGCAGCACCCCTGGCACAGGCACCTTGCACCACAGGCACCTTGCTCCACTTTGACCTATTTGGCATTAAAACAAATTGGTTTAATCACAGAATCCCAGACTGGTTCAGGCTGGAAGGCTAAAAGGAGCAGGGATGGGAACCACTCCTGCCATAGTGAACAACTGCCTGGACATATGGACATGAGGCTGAAGGCAGCACAAATGGGCTTGGGGATACAGTAAGAGGCAGAAATCAAAATTTTCTATCAAAATGCTCCTCACCCTCTACCCTGTCCGTGCCTGTTCCTGAGATTTGTCCTCTCCCTCCTCTGTGGGCCCCTCTCACTGCACCCCAGTTCTGTGGTCCCCAGCTGCCATGGGACCCACCACATGGGAAAGCTGAACCACCTCCAAGGCTCTTATCCTGTCTGATACTGGGGTTAATAACTGCCATTTTTGAACATTTCATCTTTCTTACCAGTTTTATTACTGTTAATAAAAACTGCAGCTTCATCACATGAGGAGCCCCACATCCCTCATCAGTGCAGCAGAGCACGTACACCCCTAAAACACAGAAGTCAGAAACCACCCAAGACAGCCTCTGCCTTTACTTGACCGACTCAGCCCAAGTTCTGGTTTTAGTGTCAGAAATCTCCGCAGCAAGACTGTGAGAAATATTTTTTTAGCTCATCTGATAAACATGCAAATCTTGATTATTCATATGTTACTTAAAATAAAAAGCCCAGACAGAAACAGATGAGACAAAGCCCTCCAAGCAGTACAGCCCAGCTTGGCAGGGACAGCCAGAGGCCCTTGGCTTTGCCCACGTTGGCTGTGGGTGCCCCACTGTCAGCAGCACCCAGTCCTGGCTGGTCCCACACATCTGGAGCAGCCCCCCCTCAAAACACCTGCTGCAGATGTGAAGATTTCTCTCCATTCTTGTCTTTAATCTGGCTCAATGGCACTGCAGCCTCAAGCAGCTCTTTTAGAGAGTAATGGCAATGAGCCCTGGCCCTGGCTGCCCCATGGGCACTCCTGGATCAGGGTTTCTGGATCAGGGCACTGCTCCTGGATCAGGGCTCCTGGATCAGGGCTCCTGGATCAGGGCAGGGGCTGCAGGAGCAGCCCCAGAGGGATGCTGAGAGCTCGTGCCTGGGGCTGGCTGTGCCTCCACAGCCCAGGATCCCCCAGGAGTGGCACCAGGGCTGGGGAGCTCAGCAGGCTCTCGCTCCTCAGCTTCCTGCCCTTCTGTGAGATAATTTTTTTCCTATTAAATAACACTATGAGCTGTTTCTCTTCCTAAAATAGCACACACCACCACACACACTGTTTGTTTTGTTTGAATTCCTTCCCCACTAAAGCAGCACAAACCCCACTGTAAACCTGACTCCACATCTCTACTCCATCACCAGGCTTTTCCTTTAGATGGAAAACACTGAAGCAATTACAGATTCCCTGCACATACAAAATCACAGCATCCCAGAATAGCTTGGGTGGGAAGGGACCTTAAAGCTCACCCAGTTCCACTCTTTGCCATGGGCAGGGACACCTTCCACTGGCCCAGATTGCTCCAAGCCCCGTCCAACCTGGCCTCAGACACTTCCAGGGATCCAGGGGCAGCCACAGCTGCTCTGGGCAATCCCATCTGGCTGATGGGTGCACCTGGAACCACTGGGCCTTGGCTTCAGGCTGTAAATGCAGAAGGTTTGAAACCAACACCTAAACCACCAATTTGGTTTTCAACAGCCTTTGCCAGGGACCCCATGGAGCAGACACGAGCCCAGGCCACAAGAAAGCATCTGGAGTTGTGTTTAAGCCTATTTAAATTACATTTGTTATTTTTTCTTTTAAACAGATAACTTGGATTCTTCCAGATCTCCTCCTAAGCAGTTATCCCAATTTTTCATTCCCCACGTTTCCCAATCCTGCCTCAGCCCTGCTGCTCCTGCAGGTCCAACCCTGCAGCCTTGAGGCTGCCACAAACACCTGATGATGCTTTCACTCCTAAAACACTAATCAAAGGTTTCCATGGGAACCTGCAGGAGCAGGAAGAAGAAGGGAAATTACAGGTCAGCTCTACCACCCAATGGAAAAAAATATCCCGTTCCTTTGCCCTCACAAAGTTTCAAGGTAACACAAAAATATTGATTCATCAGGGTGCATAAAGACAGAAAATATGCCCCAGAGTAGTCAAATGTTGTGTAAAGAAATCACTTTTAGTCCTTCAGTGAGAGGTTTGCTCTGAAAGCACGTGAGGAGCTTCACCTCTGCTCTGCCTCTTGGGCAGCCAAACCCATCCCAGGCCATGAAAGCAACACGAGGTTCCCAGGAGGGAATGGGCTCCTGGTGCTGCCCCGGGGCTGGGGCTGGCTGGGATCTCCTGGATCTGGGATCTCCTGGATCTGGGATCTCCTGGATCTGGGATCTCCTGGATCTGGGATCTCCTGTCCCTCATCCCTCCCTCCCTCTCCCCCTCCCACCCCTCTGGGTCTCTCGGCCCTCAGTTCCCTCACACGAGGGTTTCCAGTTGCCAACCAGATATGACTCAGCACCACACACACACAAGGAAACTTTTCCACCACTATTAACTTTCAGAGGAAATGGAAAAAGGAGAGAAAAACACATCAGTCATAAACTTACTTTGCCAAATGGTTCATGAGCAAGTGCAGCATCTGCCTGTTTTTCTCTGGGAGCCGATGAACGAGGCTGTGAATCTCCGACACCCTGGACTCCTGATTCTCTAGTTCTGCATGGGAAATAGGAGATGATTTATCTCCACATTAGGGGGATGTTATGGGAAGAGGCCTAATACAGTCCCTGACAGACATCCCAGGGAGCTGCTCCATCCCACACCCAGGCACTGCAGACACTCCCCACGGTGCCGCTCCTTCCCATCAAATCCATCCAGCAGTTTCCAGGGGAAGACTGAAGGGGCTGAAACGGGGAGCTGGGGGATGCCACGTGAGCAGCACAGTGAGCAGGGCAGGGCTGGCTGCAAGCAGAGCAATTCCAGCAAGGGGAACTCAGGCACATCCCATGTTCAGTGTGTCCAGCACAGGCCAGGCTGGAGCATCTGCTGGGCCCATGGTGCTAAGTGGGAGCTGCTGGAGGAGGCCATGGACCACGGGGCCCTCCTGACATCCCACAGAACATCCCCTGCTGCCAGCAAAGCCCCTTCCCCTGGGCACTGAAGGAAAGGTGGCCCGGACCTCTGAAGCAGCAGAGAGCCCCCCAAACACCGCGGTGCAGTTTAACAGCAGCCGATGGTCCCAGCGCCAGCTCCCGGCACTGCCTGCCTTCCTCCTCCTCCCCTGGGCACTCCCTGCCCCACTCCAGCCTGCCCTGGGCCAGGACACAGCCCAGCAGTGTGGCAGGGGGATGGCAGCCACTGGCAGGCCAGGCTCCTCTTCGGGAGCGGGGCCACAAACATCAACAAACTCACTCGCTGCTTTGATGAAGCTCCTTTGAAACTGGTACATCATGAGGGGCCCTGGGAGCATTCTGCAAGATAAAAAGGAAACGGGCACAAAACACATCTGAGGAACACAATCCACACCAAGAAAGCTTTGCCCCTACAATACACTCAGCTCCATTTTGAAAAGGCCAGAACTAAGCAACACCAGCTCTAATTAGTTCTCCCCATCAGAAGGAGTAAGATCTATGCAAGGACCTTTGATTTATTCACCACTAAATTAATCTTTCATTTTAGCTTTCCTCCAGTAACACAGCTTCAGTGCATTACTGAGGCCACGATTTCCAAGTAAGTTTGAAAATAAATTTAAAAGATAAACAAGCCTAGTTGTAAAACTTTCCCCATCCCCCCTCCCACTGCTGCATCCCTTCAGAGGAGCACACTGGTGCTGCCCACATTCCTCCTTGCTTTGCCAACAGTTCAGACTCCAGAGCAAAGGTTGCCAATCATGCAAAATTCTGTGATTTTCTAGGCTGAGATCCACCAGGCTAATTACACTTATCACCCTAATTGGATTTAGGCTCTCTCTTGTGCTCCCTCTCAAACACAACCCAGCACACAACAGTCACTGAGAGCAAGGAGCTGCGGTCACAACAGGTAGAAGCACGTTGTGGATAATGAGATGCTGCTGGTTGCCAACACCCAATCCTGTTGGGAAGATCCCCAGGATGATACTGGCTGGCCTGACACACAGAAATCCTAACTACAGCAAAGCTGGAAAAGCTCTACAGCCCCTGCCCTTACACAGCACTGCCCTCCCCCACTCTGCCACATGCCCAGAAGGTGGAAGCCCACTGGGAAAAGCTCAGGAAAAGCTTAAATCAAGGCAGGGGATGCAAGAATGAGCTTTTAAAATCATGTTTGTATAATACATGCATCTGTCAGAGCTGAGTGTGTTCCCCAGATCCTTCTCAAACATACTGGAAAAATCAGGGAAAAGCCAGAACAAATTCCCTAAGAGCAGTTTCTGCTCTGCCTCCATAAAAGTGCTGCTGTTAATGATCTGCAGTAACAGGCAATGCCCCTCCTGAAGCCAGGTGAGGCTTTTCTCCTTACCTCAGGTACGTTTTCAGTGCACTAGTAATGGTCTTGATCTCCCACTCTGCACAGATCTCCGTGTCTGTCTCTGTGGCTGTCTTGGGGTCTGTGGAGGAAGACAAAAAAGCAGTAACTGAAGGAAACTGAAGACAATTCCAGCTCGTGCCAGCTCAGCTGTGTGGGGAGACCACCCAGCCCATTTTATTTGCTGTTCCCAGCTCAGGACAGGTCTGCAGGGGTGTGGGGCTCATCACCCAGGACAGGCCAAACTCACTAGCATGGGATGAGAGAAGGAACAGGGAATCCTCCATCCCGAGCAAGGACAGGGGCAGGGTGGATGGAGCGTGCCAGGACAGCGGGCACAGCAGCCCCAGGTGCTTGGTGACAGCAGTGACAGCCAGGCACAGGCAGACAGGGACCTTCCTCCACACAATGTCCAGCACCATCATCCTGCAGCCACCTCCCCACCCACCCCTGGCTGGCAATTACAGCCACAGCCACCTGTGGTCACCTGCAGAGACACCTGGACAGTCACCTGGACAGTCACCTGGACAGTCACCTGGACAGTCACCTGGACAGTCACCTCCAGAGCCACCTCCAGAGCCACCTCCAGGCCAGTGGGAAGTGGGCTCAGGCTCAGCACTGAATCTCAGACAGCAACAGATCTGAGCTGGGGCCAGGAGCACCAAGCCAAGGCCAGGAACACCAAACTGAGGGCAGGAGCACCAAGCCAAGGCCAGAAACACCAAGCCAAGGCCAGAAACACCAAGCCAAGGCCAGGAACACCAAGCCAAGGCCATGGAAAAGCCGGGCATGGAAGTGCCCCATTGTGCTGATCTCTCCTGCCTGGACACTGCTCCACCAACGCTCTTTGCCAACTCCATCCTGGAAACTCAGCCAGGATCTGCTCCCAGCAGAACCCAGGGGAGCCCCTGAGAGGGTCCCACCAGTGCCAAGTGTCCCTGGGGAGCAGCACAGGGCTCCCACTGTCCCCAGGGTGACACAGCAGCTCCCACAGGCTCAGCTCAGGGGATTTTTGCCTTTTCACAGATACAAATAATGCACTTCTGAATTTTAAAGCCCCATGTAAGCACTGGGAGATTTTTAACCTACTTAGAAGAATGCCATGAATAGAGTTCAGCGTTCCCTCGGGGCAAAGGGTTTATTTTAATTAAAAAAAACCATCAAGAGGTGTTTGGAAAAGTAAACACATAAGAAATGCATATTCACACAAAGATCATGTGTGTCTCAGCAATCACACAAATGACCTCCATCCTCCTGACTCAATGCCCAGGAAACTTCCTACAGCACTGCCTTTACAAGGAGAGAATTTTAATGGAGTCAAGATAAGTCTGGCATAGTAAAAAAAAAAAATCAACAAATCCCCTAGAAGTTCCATCTTCTTTTAAAAACAAAACTTTTTAACTGAAGTAGAACAAACAACTCCAGACCGTGTGTCTTTGCAAAGGCTCACCCAGCAGCTCCTAGGCAGGATCATGGAACACGAGGTGAAATTCCTCAGTTGGTCCCATGAAAAGGCTCAGAGCAGATAATCAGCTCCCCTTGACCTTCAAAGTGATGAGTCTGCAAGAAGTGGCTGCCGTGGGCTGCAGCTGCAGCATCTGTCTCCCCAGGCAGCGATGCTGCAGCCAGCCCTGCCTCCACAAGGACACAACTCCACAGGAACTGGGGCCAAGGTGGAACCAGGGGCTGCAAAAGCACCCACAGCCCAGCCAGCATTAACCCTGGAGCTGCTTTTTGCTGCCAATCCCTGATCTGATGTCTCTCATAAATTCCTCCAGGGTGAGGGGAACAGCCTGGGGAAGCACCTCATCACCTCAGTGTGATTATCATGGAGAGATTTCCAGAACAGCCTCAGGGAAGGTACATCCCAGCAGGGAGGGGCTGCAAGGAGCCCCACTCCCAGCCCTTCTGGCCCCTGGCAAAGGAGCAGGAGCAGATCAGATGCTGTAACTCACCTATGGCAGAGTTCACACCTGCTGGGGCTCCCACAACAAACCCTCTCAAGGGAGCTCCCACTGGTGGAAGTTTGGTTATTTGTTGGGTTTTGTCCTCATTTTGATGGCACAATGTGAATGCTGGGGAGATGTTTGCCCCCCAGCAGCCCTGGGAGCCCCCCCACACTGCTTCACCCCAGATCTGCCCTGACCCCCAAGGTTGCCCCAGAGGGAGCAGAGCAGAGCCCTGCGCCGAGCTCCTGCAGGGACACCTCGTGCCAGAGCCCTCCCTGCAGTGTCACTGACACCAGCTCAGGGAAACTCGATCTGTTTGCCATTTAAACTGTATGTGAGGCAGTAACGCTGCCCACATTCATTTCTAAATATAAGGGAGACCTGACAGTGGCAGCACAGTTTGGCTCCTCCATTCACGAGGAGCCACGAGGGCAGCGAGAACAGAGAGGGTTTGACAAGGGACACGTTTCCATGTGACACCCATTTCACAGACAGCCCAAACACCAGGGCTGATGAAGATTTAATCCCCCACAATTTGGAGGAATTATGGAGTCACAGGTTTGCAAAGCATCCCAAGGATTGACAGCATGGGGGATTCCCAGAAGGGGTCCCACTCCCAGCCCTGACCTGCCTCACAACCAGCGAGGACACACCAGGACAAAGGAAAAGCACCAGAGATTTATCACCTCCTTACGAGACACCAGGGCGACAGCTGAGTGGCTTCAGTGGCTGAGGAGATAATGGATGCTGGAAGGTGTCCAAGCCTGAATCCCTCCCAGCTCCACAGAGCTCTTCACCCAGGAGTTTTGCCATCTGTCACAGCCCCAGGACTGATGCCTTAGTGACAGGAGAACCATGGCCCTGCCACCCGGGATGTGGTGATGAGCATCACCAGAGGACCTGGCTGAGCACCTGCCAGGACCTGCCCCGGGGCACCAAGCCAGCCTGTTTTTACCAGCAGGGCCCTTGGCTGGACGCTGTCCCTGTGCCCAGCGTGTGTGCCAGGGGACAGCGCTGGCTCCCCGCAGCCCTGCGACCTTCACACGGCCCCAGCCGGCCACAAACTTCAACAACAGCAGCACCAGCCACCAGCTCTCGTGACTGCAGTGAACTTTCCACAGCAAAGAGGTCCCCTGCACCCAGATTTGGAGCTTGGACTCCAACCACCTGCATTATCTGTTTTCCACAGGTTAACACTGACAGCTGAAACAGCCACCGTGGGCTTTGCTCACCAAACACCTTACTGGTGGGAAAAGAAGGAGGAATTGGAAAAGGAAAAGATGTTGAAACACAACAGACGAAAACCTTCTACAAGAAGAAATATTCAGAGAAAGGAGCACTGGAGTTTTGTGAGGACAGGGAAGAGTCATGTAGCAAAGGAAAGATAGTAGGTGGAGGGAAAGAAGAGGTGACCAGAAATGCCACACACTTTCCCCAAGGAGTAACAAACACATTCAGTAGGGCACTAACAAATTAGTAAGCATTTGTTTCCCTGTTCCTACAGCTATTTCATCTGTGGTTTTGCCAAGTCTGAGCAGCATCAGACAGGACTGGCCAAGGGCAGCTGCCCTGCTCCAGCCCAGCTCTGCTCTCTCTTCCACTGTTGTGTCTCAGGCATGTCTGGACAGATGGACAGACTGGTCCAGGGCTGCAGCTGTGGGATGGAAATGCTGCCTGTGAGGTAAGGGCTGGAACAGCTCTGTCCACACAGCCAGAGCAAACCTCTGCCGTGCCAAGAGCCAGCAGCTTGTCCCTGTGGAGCACCCAGAACTGCAGGATCCAATGCCTCAGTCACGAGGGAAACACATGCTGGAAAACTCTGGGCAAGACTGAGATAAACAGGCCCAAGAAAATCCGTGGGGAAAGCAAGAACAGCCACAGGCAGCATGCAACATCCAGGAGAAAATCATATCAAAGGGTGCTGGGAACAAGGGGGCAGGTAGGAGATGAAAAGCCAGAGCTTTCAGCTATTTCTTTGAAGAGTTTGGTTTGCATTTGGGAAGGCTGCCAGAACTCAGAGCATGTGTGAGCAGGACAGCAGTGACTGCAGCAGGACCTGGTGAAGCCAGGCCCTACACGAGTCCTACCTTCAGTCCTGCCCAGGACCTCCCGGCCTCGACCAGCACGTGGTCCTAGGGGCACAGTCACCACCATTAGGGACCCCAACAAGAGCCTCTGCTCCTTCTGGCAAGACTTCAAAGCAGCACAATCTCCTTGCCTTTAACAAAACTCCAGGTACTTACCCATTAATATACTCAGCAGCTTTTGAACTCTGGAGTTCACCCCCACGATCCGGTAGAGCCCCTGCTCATTGATCCCTAGGGAAAACAAGGCACTCGTCAGCAGAGGGTCACAACAGCCCCCAGGATTTCTTTCACTTCTTTGGCTTTTCAAATAGCAAAGCCAATGAAACCTTCTCACCAATCAAATACAAAGCTACAGAGGATGGTCAAATTTGGGGTTGATATCAAGGTTTTCACGTATCCTATTCTATTTCCTTGGAAGTGTTACCCCCTTAGCTCAGGAATAAGGATCTAAGGACACTTTTCCTCCTTCCCACAGCCATGGCAGCCCCATGCAGGATCTGCACTTAACCAAGGCAATTTGGGAAAATGTTACTGTGTCAAGTTCTTCAGGTTGAGGTCTGAGCCTTTTGCATCTGACTTCCCCCTGTGGGGCTGGGACAATCCCACCTGTAAACAAGGGGATTCACAAGAGGTTTTGGGGACGGAATCCCAGGTGAGAGGACGTGCTCGGCAGCATTCCTGCAGGAAAGATGCTGAAGGGAACATCCCCCTCGGTCCTGTCCCCCCTTTTGCACACCCAGGGCATCATTTCCTAACTCTGCCCCACGTTTGTGAGTCCCTGCTGGCCCAGCCGTGGGGCAAACGCTCCTCGGCATCGGCCCGAGCACGTTACGGCTCCATCTGATGTGCCTCATGAATCATTCTGTCTGTGAGAAGGGCAGGAAAGCAACTGCTCCACTGCCAACAGCTGCCCCAGAGCAAGCCCAGCCCGGGAGCTGCCCTACCTCTCGTTTCCACAGCGTGGATGCACTTCTTGATGATGCTGAAGCCGATGGTGTCCAGCTGTGCCGCTGCAGGGGAAGGGCAGAGAGCAGTGAGCAGCTGGCAGGGCAGGGCAGGGCCCCACAGCGATCCTCAATCCCTGCCATGCCAGCACTGCACCACTGCCCAGACCAGGAGCAGATGAATGAAGGCAGAAAAACACAAGTGCAGCAGTTGGTAGCAGCTGGAAGCTGGCAAACACAGGCACTGATCCTCATTCCAGCCTCCACATCCTCCTGAGCCAGGCCCTGCCCTCTGCCAGGCACCTACCACTGCAGATGGACACAATCAATTTAGGAGCAAGGTGAGATAATCCAAATTTGTCTGGAAAGCTGACAACAGGTTGCTTGGAAAGAAATTAAATCATACATTTTGACACAGCAAATCCTTGAAAATGGCACACGAGGTATCCTGCCTCTGCCCGAGAGTGAGAGCTAAAACATGAGAATTAATGGATGTACAACTCAATTCACTTGTGCCAACGCAGGTTTTCACTTCTAAATTCAAGGAATTACTAATACAGGGACCCAAACACCTGCTGGAAGAATTCATCCCACTGAGAGCTTTCCACCAGTGCCTGGAAAACACTGCCCACAGCCAGCTGTTTGTTCTGGAATATCAGGGAGGGTTGGAAAACCTTCCAGAGGGCAGGAGCCCCTCAGAGAAGGGTGGGCAAAGCCCCCCGGGGCTGCAGCCACAGGGAATGCCGTGATGTGAGAGCTGTGTTCTGTGCAGAGCAGAGCAGGGAGCAGAGCCTGGGGCTGGCAGTGCCCTCAGCAAGGCACGTGCAGCTCCTCTCCTGGCAGGGCATCCCCTGCTCCCTCTCCCACAGCAGCTGCCAGCTCACACTCACACCGAGCAGCCCCTTCCTAATCCCCTGCTTTGAGTCCTGGTGGGCTTTGTGTGGCCACCAGGACCCAGAACAGCTCTGCTGTGTTTTCCTGGGCAGGCAGGCTGCAGGGCCGAGCCAACACAAGCACACGAGCTGCAGGATGCCACAGGACGTGAGGATACTCCAGGAGCTGCAGGGCCCTTTGCTGGGCACCCTCAGGGCTCCCAGCAGGGATACAGCACAAACCCAGTGTTCCATCCCCCAGCAGGGCACAGCTGCCATTCCCAGGTCACTGAGAAACACGGGAGAAGCTCCAAACCCTGCTGTGGAAACTCTCTTGCTGCAGCAAACCCAGCCCAGCAGGTCTGGGCTTGGCAGCGGTGTGACCCTGCCCTGTGGGCAGCCCTGTGTGGTGCTGACAGCTTGGATCACTGCTCCAGGCTCTCTGCCATCCACTGCAGGTGCCAGCCCATCCCACACACCAGCAGTTTTCCTTTAGCCCCTTGTGTGTTTGGACAGGGCTTGGAGCAACCTGGGATAGTGGAAGATGTCCCTGCCCACAGCAGGATCATCTCTAAGGTCCTCTCCAGCCCAAGCCATTCCATGATTCCATAACCCTGCAGGGATCCCAGCAGGAGGAGGAAGCCCAGCAGTGCCTCTGGGTGGAAGTGACCTGGCACAATCCCCCTAAGCAGATGAAGGAGCTCTTCCACTCCCTGTGTAGCTCTGGATCAGGAAAGGTTGGAGATTTATTTGCAGTAGCTATATCCAGAAATAATATCTGATTAAATATCCAAAGTGCTTTTATTCATCCTTAAATTTAACTTTTAATGAGCATTGTAAAAGCTTGATTTGCCCCCTGTCAGAACATCTGCTCTTTAGCTCAGTCATTTACCAAATGATTCAGCTCAGCAATGGCCCAGACCAAAGGCAGATCTGGATCTACTCTTGTCCTGATCCCAGATCCACGGAATTATCTGGGTTTGATAGGATAATTCCATGATCATCAAGTCTAGCAATTCCCCCAGTACTGCCAAGGCCTGTCCCCAAGAGCCAGATCCACAGGGCTGTAAAACCCCTCCAGGGATGGGGACCCCCCTGCCCTGGGCAGATGGGCTGCAGAGCCTTTCAGAGAAACATTTCCCCTCCAATCTGAACTCCCCCTGAGTGGAAGAGCCTCCCTTGAGGCTGTCCTTCCTCAGGGCAGGGTGTGAGGCTCAGCTCCAGGCCAGCCCCGTGTCACAGCTCCTCCTGCAGCAGCAGCATCCAGTGCCCAGGGAGATGCACTGCCCAGGCTGGAACCCATCCCAGGAGCACTGCACACCACCTGTGCAGCAGCTGCTGCCCACACACCCCACACTCATCTGACCTTCCAGCAGCATCACATCCCAAGTGATACTCAATTGCTCTCATCCCCTTCTATTTTTGCCTGGCAGATTATTTCTATTTAATCCATTAATTCCTTTCCTTTTTGCTGATGTGACACATCAGAGCACTGGGGAGGGGGCAGGAGGGCTGGATCAGCTCTGTCAGCCTGCCTGGCTCCAGCTGTGTCAGGGCACAGCAAGGTCAGAGCAGCTCCTCTGCCTCCCCACACACACTCCTGTGCCATGGAATGGCATTCTCTGCCTTGAATTCCTCCAAAGACATTTTGGAAATAAGAACCACGGAGGAGGTTCATGAAGCAGAAACCAGAGGAATGAGGTTTCAAGTCTTACCAGAAATGAGTTCTCTGTGCTCTAACTACCAGTGAGCTGCCGAGATTGGGAAAGGGAGACTGAGGGTCAGGGTAGGTTGGAGAAATGAAGGTTTTTTTCTGAGGGTGGGCAGGCCCTGGCACAGCTGCTCAGAGAAGCTGTGGCTGCCCCTGGATCCCTGGAAGTGTCCAAATCCAGGCTGGAAAGGGGTTGGAGCAATCTGGGATAGGAGAAAGTGTCCCTGCCCATGACAGGGAGAGAGGAGCTTCAAAGTCCTTCCAGAATATTCTGTGATTCCATGCCTGTGACTGCTGGGAAAGGCCAGGGCACCCAAGCACACAGGGCAGCCAAAGGGACACAAGGTCTGTGAAAAACTTGTGAAAATAAATACTTTGATGGGGTCCTGAACTAATGGGGAACCAAGAGGATGTGGCAGATGGAGAGGGAAATGGTGGGAAGGAAAAGAAAGGAGGAATTTTGTGCTGGTCCATGAAATAAGCACAAATAGCCTGGAGGGATTGTTTCCACAGAGCAGGGCAAGTCCTTCTGGTTAGCAAACTAGAGCATCTGAATTCCCCTGGCTCTCATGGTTCAGTGACACCACTCAGCCCCTCTGCTCCGCTTCCTCCCCCTCCTCAGCAGAGCCAGATAAATCACCACAGGCCCACGGCCATCTGGCCACACAGCAGGACAGAGAACCCAGCAGCTCTGCAGAATTAGTGTCCTGAAAGTGCCACCACAGCACTGTGAGGCCCTCTGAGCCCCCCACGAGGGCAGGCAGGATGCAGAGCTACAGAGGCTCCCAGGGTCAGGAGCTGCATCCGGACCCTCTCCATCACCACACTCATTGCAGACCCTCATAGGAAGATCCTGGATCAAGGGCTGCTGGCAGGGAGCCAGCTGCTGAATCAATTTCACAGTGGCTGGGGAGGCAGGCACTCTAAACCAGGGATTTCATGAGGCTGAAGCAGTCAGACAGCACCAGTGGCAGCCCCAGCCCAAGCAGAGGGTTCAGAAGCACCTTCAGCCAGGGCTCCCAACCTGCTCCCAGGAGCTGGAAGGACAGACACGGAGCAGACAAGGAGCAGACAAGGAGCAGACAAGGAGCAGCATTCTCATTTTTAAGAGAGACCACCAGAATGGTTTCTTGGGCCAGAGCAGCAGGTACAGAGCTGGCAGGGCCAGTGACAGCCCATGGCCAGGCACACGGAGCTGAGCCACTCCTGGCCCCACAGCTCACAAACTCCTGGGGAAGAGAGACCAGAGGAGCTGCTCTAGCAGAGCTCCTAGCCCAGGGCCACTGGCCATGCTGCCCTTCCCAGTGTGAGGCACAGCACCGAGCCCTGCTGGCATCGCCTGGGTGCACAGAGCCAGCTGATACCTGCAGGAAAAGATGGATGTGCAGCTGATGCCAGAGAGGATCAAAGGGAAGGAGAAACCACAGAGGAGAGAGCAGAGAGGGGGAAGAGACTGCTTTGTGCGAGGGCCGAATGGGTGTGAGGAACATTAGCTGCAAATTATAGCAATTATTGAGAGAAAAACGCTTCGGCTCCAGATGAAAACCTTGTGTCTGGGGCAGCACCAAATGAACCAAGTGCTGAACGTCAGCCCAAGCCCAGCCCTGCCTGCCCAGTGGCTTTGAGGGAAGGAGGGAAGGGATTGGGGCTGGAGCATTGCAATTATGGCAAATCCAGCCTACTGGGAAATGGCTCAATTAAGGGTTTTAAAACACAGGAGGTAAGAGGCAGGACCAGGTGCAACTGCTCCTCTAGGAAGAAAAACAAGTGCTTTGACCCAAGGTTGATTGCCTGCACTACAACAAAAAGAGCTTTTTTTATTTTTAAGGGTTCTTGCTGACAATCTTGACAAGGCAAGACTTCCTTACTCCTACACGTCTGCTCCAGTTCCCCTCTGGAAAGACACGGTCACCCTGCACATTCTGGCTCAGAGAGAAGAGCTGGTCCCAGGTGTCACCTGATCCCTCTGCTGGACTTCAGGAGCAGGTCCCAAGGCCACCAGACCCCTGCACACGGTGTGGGGCAGGAGGGGACACACCCTGAGGGGTGCAGGGAGCTGCCTGGCGCTGCTCTCCGTGGCCCCAGGTCCCACCAGCAGGTTTCTGCCCCTGGTCCCTGCTGGGTGCCACACTCAGCTCTCCCTGGGGCCACCTTGGGTCCCCACACTGAGCCCTGTCACCCCCCAGCCCCGGGGAGCCCAGCACAGCCCAGTGCCACCAGCATCTCCTGCTGACCCCTCCCACAGCTCAGCCACCTCTCAGGGGTCAGAAGAAATACTCACTGCCTTCGCTCTGGCTGTCCTTGTTCGAGTTGTACACCTGGAAAACACAAGCAGAAAGTCTTATGAAGAGCCTGGCTCCAGCTGGGGCTGCTGGCACAGCTGGTGTCACCACGGTGGGTCTGCTGCCAGCACCTCCCCCAGCAGCCAGGTCCCCAAACACCAGCATGACCTTCTGCACACAAAATCTGGGCTGGCCCAAATCTGGAGTCACTCTAAAATAACTGACTAGGACAGCTCTTAAAATGAAAGAATGCAAATGGGATGGAGCAGGTAAAAACGGAAATTAGAGGTTTCTGAACAAAATGAAGGTGAGGTTGGACTAGATGACCTTTAAAGGTCCTTTCCAACCCAAAACTCTTCCATGAGTCTATGACTCCTCTCCTGAAAGACACATAGAGAGGATATAAACTTAGAGCAAAGCAGGCAATTCCACCTTGGGCCTCACAGGAACCTCTGGTAGTGCAACTCGGGCAGGGAGCAGGTACCACCCTCCTCAGGTACAGCCTGAGCAAACGAGCCAGGCGAGGAGCAGGACAGGGAAGGAAATGCCATTAATTCAGAGAGGCCAACAAGTGCAGCAGGACGAGGCACTGAATGCATCCAGCCACCACCAGGACTCCATCCCAAGCCTCTCCAGCCTTCAAACATCGATGCTCCTCCTGCCACCCCCATCACCACCACAGCTTGGCTGCTGCAGATTAAAGTGACGTTTCAGTGGATGCAATAAAAGGGAAAACACTGGCAGAAGGTTTTAATCACGATGTGAGGGCACTTTAAAAGCCCAGGATAACACCAACAGCAGCTGTAAGCAGATCAGCCCTCAGACAGGTTGTATTTCTCCTGCTCAACAGAGTAAAATGGTTTAAAATAATCCTTTAGTGCTCAGAGTCCCACCAGGAACAAGCACACACATCCCAGAGCTCCAGCAGCACCCTGGAGGTGGCTGAGTGGGCACTGAGCAGGACAAGAGGCTGCTGAAGCTGCTGGGAGCAGGGCTGGGAGCAGGGCTGGGAGCAGGGATGGGGACAGGGATGGGAGCAGGGCTGGGAGCAGGGCTGGGAGCAGGGACGGGGACAGGGATGGGAGCAGGGATGGGAGCAGGGACGGGAGCAGGGCTGGGAGCAGGGACGGGAGCAGGGACGGGGACAGGGACGGGAACAGCGATGGGAGCAGGGATGGGAGCAGGGATGGGAGCAGGGCTGCTGAAGCTGTTGGGAGCAGGGCTGGGATCAGAGCTGGGAGCAGGGCTGCTGAAGCTGTTGGGAGCAGAGCTGGGAGCCCCCTTGCCGAGGGAGCTGCCCCCATCACATGCTGCTCCCGAAATAGCCAGCGGGCAAGGCAAGCTTCCAAAGGCCGTGTTGATAGCAACGCTCAGGCAGCAACGGAGTGGGAGAGGCTGCAGGCAGGGCTCTGCTCCCATCCAGGCGGATGATCCAGGCGGATCCTGACACCAACAGGGATGCTCTGAGCTTCCCGTGGGGTCCCTGCTGTGGGCATCTCCCCCAGGAGCTCCAGGAGCTGTCTGTGATGTTCTCAGAGGAGCAGAGCCAGCGGCAGCCGGGCTCGGCCGCTGCCGGCAGGGCAGAGCTCTCTGTGCTGCTCACCCAACGACCCCCAGCATCAGAAACAGCCCAGCAAGGCTGTGTGTCACAGAGCATGTCACAGGGCATGTCCCCAGCAGGGCACATACACAGATTCCTCCCCTGGAGGTCACCCCAACACCGGCCACTCCTGCGCTCGCCTGTGCGGGCACCGGCCGGAGCACATCAGGACTCCTTGGATCAGCTCCACCACCCAGGACAGGCTCAGGAAGCACCAGTCTCATGCAGCAGCTCAAAACTGGGGTCTGGGCAGGCACTGATCCCTCCAAGGAGCATCTTCCCCCTCCCAGGACACCTGGCTACGTAACTCAAGAGCGAGCAGAGATGATTGTTTGCGGGAGAAAATCCATCAGCCACATCTGGCGAGCGGGGGATGATTCAGCAGCAAAACCAGCTGCTGTCAGCAAGTGAGTTTTCCTCTAGGAACAGTGTTTATATCAAGAAAATAAAATAAGTGGAAAGAGGGAAGGAAAGCGCCTGCAGGCTCCCCGACAGCAGCAGCCCTGCAGCCCCACCACGGAGCCAGCCTTCCCTACGGAAGTTTGGAAGTTTTCCCCTGACTTCAGCGCCTCTGCTGAGGGCTCACTGAAGGGTCAGGGGGCTCAGCCTGCTGCTCAAAGGCTTGGAGACACACAGCCCTTCCTTGGGATCACACAGATTTCGTGCCCCACACACAGGTAACACTAAACACAGCAAAGGATCAGGCGTGGAGCAAGCTGGGATAGGGGAGGTGGAGTGAGAGGGGCTGGAAGGTCCTTCCAACCTCAACCATTCCAACTCCCAGGGCACTCCCAGCAGCTCCAGGGGGATCCTCTGCCTGCCCATTTGCTCCTCCAGTTTGGATCCATGAAACGACAGAAGTTATTAATCACCAGAGTCTGCTCTTGAAACAAGGGAAAAGGGCAGACATGGAAACACAAAATGCTGTTGCCATTAATTGCAAAGTGTGCACACAAAAGGGGGGTTTCACACCGAGGTCAACAGCGACCATAAAGCACAGAGCCACTGCCACCCTACACCCATCTGATGGAGGAGAAACCTTTTATCCATTGTCTCTGTTAATCCACTAGCACAGCTCTACACCAGCAGGCTTTCAGCCAAGCCCCAAGTCTGTAACATCCCTTCCTTTTCCAAGAAATGCTTTTCCTATACTGCCTCAAATCTTTTAGAGGGAGATTTTTCTGGGTAAGAGAAAGTTTCCAAGTATGAGGAAAGGGCTGCTGTGTAAGAGGTCTGAGAGTGAGGCTCCTCCAGTGCCCCAAGGGTCACCCCTGCTCTGCTGGCAAACCCCTTGGGCTCCTGCCTTGGCAAAGGTCGCTCCTGCCCAGCCTGGCCCCGGGGATGTTGATATTCCACTCTTCACAAAGCAGCTCTGATAACAGGCAGGGCTCAAAGCAGAAGGGTGCTTTTGAAGATTAAGCCTCACAGACACGTCAGTCAGCCCAGCCCCCCTGGGAAAGGCTGCAGAATTCTGCAGAGGCTCTTGCAATTCCCCACACCACACTCAGCACCGAGCCCAGGGCCGCAGCACCTCGGGAGGGACGGGCTGGGAGCCCCTTGGGAAAGCTCTCTGAACCCTCCTCCACACAACTGCCAGGGGCTGGGCTGGATTCCCCTGCCCTCGGTGTCTCACAGGTATCTGCACCATCCCCGCGGCCAGGCTGGCCGTGGGCTCACACAAGAGCCAGCTCGGGGCCAGGGACACCAAGGGTGACACCTCTGAGGGTGACACCTGACAGGGTTACACCTCACAGGGTGACACCTGACACAGTGACACCTGACAGGGTGACAGCTCTCAGGGTGACACCTGACAGGGTGACACCTCACAGGGTTACACCTCACACGGTGACACCTGACAGGGTGACACCTCACAGGGTGACACCTCTGAGGGTTACACCTGACAGGGTGACACCTGACAGGGTGACACCTCTGAGGGTTACACCTGACACGGTGACACTTGACACGGTGACACCTCACAGGGTGACACCTCACAGGGTGACACCTGACACGGTGACACCTCACAGGGTTACACCTCACAGGGTGACACCTGACAGGGTTACACCTGACACGGTGACACCTCTGAGAGTTACACCTGACACAGTGACACCTCACAGGGTGACACCTCACAGGGTGACACCTGACACAGTGACACCTGACAGGGTGACAGCTCTCAGGGTGACAGCTCTCAGGGTGACACCTCTGAGGGTGACACCTCACAGGGTGACACCTCACAGGGTGACACCTCACAGGGTGTGACAGCTCTGCCCAGGACAGGACAGGAGCTCTGCACACTCACACACACATGGCCCAGCACCAGGCCAGACAGTAAAACACCATGAAATGAGGGTGTTTTTGTGCCCACACACTGTTTTTCCTGTTGTTCACACGCTCTGGAGAAAACAGCCCAAAACCCAGAGAGTTTCTCGTGAAATAAAAAGCTTCTTTCACTTTGCAGTATTAGTCACTGACAAAGGGAGGGAAATCAGAGAGAGGAATCATTGCTGGGAGGTGAAGGGCCTGTGGCCCAGGGACACGTGTGGGAACAGGCTGGGTTATAAAACTCCCAGAATTGGGACTGGTGACTAACGTGGAGACAAATCCCTGCCCTGCAGCGCTGAGATGCTTTAACCTCTCACTGGCACTAATTATTCTCACTTGATTGTATTTCCAGAGCCAAAATATCCTTACCAGGCAGTTTCAGAAGTGATGTGCATAGAAAAATTATACACTAAGATAGCACAGAACTTACAGACCTTGATGACTTGTATTTAGTTTTCTAAACTCCTTCTGTAGATGGTCAAATATCCTGAACAGAACCAGACTGTATAATTTTTTTTAGCAGAAGCTACTGCTGCTTCATTCCTGCAGAACAATTGCTGTTTGGAAGCTTAAAGAAGGCCTTTACGAGCTATTATTGAAAAATTCCAAGATGCATCTGTAAGCAATCCAGAAAGATAAATTTTATGAGAGCAGTTACAACTCATGACTACTTTGACACTTGCACTATGCTCAATTATGAACTTGATATTTAAGATAATTCTTTAAAGAACCACTTATTTCCTTTGGTGAGACATTTCACCAAATACAAGCTATGTTTTGCAGAGGAAATGGTTTTATAGGGATGATTAAGAGCTCTGTGATGTTTCAGGGTGTGGTAGAGGAGCACACAGCCCAGGAGGCAGCTCCTGCTCCCCTGGAGCCGCAGGGATGAGCTCAGGGATGAGCTGGGGGTCACTCCCTCACACCTTCCCCCAGCACAGCCCAGTGCTTGCTCCTGGCCCATGGCCCCACTGCTCATGGAACAACGCCTGGGCAGGAGCAGCAATGCAGGTGCTGCAGCAATGCAGGTGCTGCACCAATGCAGCAGCTGCTCCTGCCCCCTCTAAATGCAGCCCTGCCATTACCACACACCTCGACACTGGAGCTGTGCATCATG